TTTAGGCACCCTCTGGTGGTCAATAGAATACAATTAACTCTCCTAAACATTAATATGAATTATCTAAGCTTGAAGGCCATTTTAACAGCTGATGACATAAATATTCTTTTTTCCGCACACCGCCCCCCCCTCCCCACATAGTTTCAGGGTCTAAATCCCTAAATTCAAAGTAAATGCTACCTCCATTGTAAAGCAAATGGCTTTGCCCAGTGAAAGTGCTATTTATGAATCATGAAATCCCACACAGACATCAGGTAAGCCTCAGATAAAAGGAGGGTGGGGAGACTCATCTAGATTAAGTATTTAAAAAAAAAAAAGTATTTAGGGAAAACGTTATTAAAAACAGACCAAGTCTACTTGAAGTAAATTCACACTGTGGAAAAAAAATACTTCAACTGGTAACATAAACATAGGAGAGAATGTTACATACTGTGAATATTTTAAATAAATAATTTAAACCTTTATCAGTATAACTGAAGAACAGAATTTTCTATCACATTAGCAGAAATACACCCTGTGATATTTTTCTTCAACAGCAAACATTCTGCACTATTTTGGGAACGGTGCTAATAGCACTGGTATTCCTAGTGTTTAAAGCTGTGTTGACATGATAAAGTGCTATAATTTTAACTTGTTATTGTGAGGCAGAAACTGCCTCATTAATTTCTGCTTCATTCAAAACTGAGAAACGAATCAATGTTTACCAATGGGAGTGAAGCTAAATGAGTAACAAAATGAAAGCCCAAAACAGTTGTGATAAGTCATTAGTTTAAAATGTAGGAAAAAAAACTCAAAAGGGTTTCTAAGTTTTGTTTAGTCAACAAAACAAATAAAAATGAGAAAACGGTTTTTAGTACAGTTGAAATGGATTGTTCAGTGCACTCTTTTAATTTTAATCTTGTTAAATCTGAAAAAAAGGCTGCTCTCTATACAATAAATACAACATCAGTATAGGATACTGCAGATGAAATCACATATCAATGCTTTAACAAAGTATGACTTCTTAATCACACTAGATATTTATGAAACTGTAACATAAGATACTTAAATTTACTAGATATACCAACACTTTGAATATATCGAATATTCAAATAAAAGTCTTCTGTTTTATCCATAATCCAGTTGATTTAAATATTTTATTTTATTTTATTTTATTTTTGATTTAAATATTTTAAAATATCACAGAATGACAACCAAACCTAAGACGAACATTAGAGATAACTTAGTCCCATTTCTTTATTTTACAAATGAGAAAGGTAAGAACCAGAAAGAGTAGAATATTGGTCTAAAAATCGAACAACTATTTAGTAACAGAGCAAACAAATCTTGCCCTTCTAGGTGCTTATGTGTTAAGCACAAAATTAAATCTTTGAATGAAAACAAGTGTTCTCAAAAGTCAATTCATTTTTGCCCTTTTAATAAACAATCTAAGTCTCCACCCATAATAATCACCCCAAGTGGTTAACGCCCTTCCTTACATTGAATTTGTAGCAGAAAAGCTATTGCTTAGTTTCCAGCTAAGTGAGAAAAGAAACATACGCTATTCCTGATAATACGACATTATAAAAATGAATACTATTTTCAAGACATAACACTTGGGTAAAGTATAGAGAGCATTTTGTTAGAGCATCAAACCATTAGGAAGTCAAAGGACTTATGGAAAGCTAGATGCTTAAAAAGGGAAACATGGCAACATTCAGCTGTATTGTTTAAAGTAGTACAATATCCTAAAAACATCTTGTGGTGTGTTTGGGCGATATGTCTGTGCGTGTTTGTGTGTTCTGGGTGTGGGGGTGCTAAGACTTGTATGGAAAAGAGGAAGGGGAGGGAAAGATAGTTCTCACCTGAGCCAAGCTGTCTGTCACTAGGATTCAGCTGTGATCAGCCATCATTAGTGAGTACAAAGCTGGTCCAGTAACCAAGGATTGTCTACACAATGGGAGGGTTAAGTCTGAGAACAGGACAGTTAATTTCTGACTCACCCCTAGGATGTCACTCCAAAGCATGAGAGAATTACCAACAAGCTGAGCTGTAGCATCAAAACCTTGATGCTCTGTTACCTCTCAAAGACAGCTTAACAAAGAGGAGGAAAAAAACATGTTTACTCTCAGCCTGATTGGACGCACAGTTCTGAGCTGAAGAGCTTGTGAAGAAAGATTCTTTTGAACAAAATTCAGCTTCCCAAACTACAAGAAGACTCAAACATACAAAATGGCTGAGGACAAAACATACCCCCCTTGCAACACTGCTTCTAATACTAAAAAAGGTTTTTCTTTTTAAATTCAAACCACGTACCATTTAAATTGGTGGGGGAATGGAGAGTGAGGGAGGTGGTCAGGGAGACCAGATGTTTAGATTTTTCCAATTAATTCTGCCACAATACAAGTGTCTGAATTTGGAAACCTTGTGACCAGTGCACCCTCAGATTCCTTATCTTGTATTGGGGGGATCTTGGTCCTTTTCTGTTCACTATTACATGTTTCTATGTGAAAGGGACATTTTAAAACAGTTTAATTATAAAGGGAAAAACTTTCCTAGATTACAAAATAAATCTGGAGTTAACCTTAGTTCCCTCAACAGTCTGTAATCCCCCTGTGTGTGTTAGTCACTCAGTCGTGTCCGACTCTTCGCAACCCCATGGAGTGCAGCCTGCCAGGGTCCTCTATCCACGGAATTCTCCAGGCAGGAATACTGGAGTGGGTTGCCGTTTCCTCCTCCAGAGGATCTTCCTGACCTGGGGATCAAACCCAGGTCTGCTCCATTGCAGGTAGATTCTTTACTATTTGAGCCACCAGGGAAGCCCTCATAATCTCCCCAAAGTCGTGTGAAAAAATTCTGGTGATGTACATAAATATTTTTCTAGGGAGACAGTATTTCTATTAGAGACTCAAAGGGAAATTAGGTCCCTCAAAGTTTGGGGACTTTTGACTGAGAGAGTAAAAGGTGTCTTTAGATCTTGCTTTGTCTAGTTGTGTGAGCAGATTCACAGCAATCTTTACCCAGTTCTAAAATCTGTCCCACAAAGCCTTCTCGAGTTTCTCATTTATCTTCATGAACTGTGTGCTTGTAATTTTTCATGAGCAGAAAGCCTGTTCAAAATCGAGTCCTTTTCATTAAAGATTTAAAATTCTGGAGATTTCAAGATTTATGTTAATATTAGTGGCTAAAGGAGAGCCATTTGACTATATCAGAAAATTTTAAGCCTATAGCATCTGAAATATTTGACCACTGAGGTTGAATTATTTTACTATTTCTTTTTTCTTGAGTTAACTGATACGAAACAAAAGGCTGGCTCCTCCTTCCAACCTGCTTTTTTTTTCTTCTGATCTTTGAGTCTGCTGTGAAAGGATGATGAATTAACTGTGGTTCTATTTGAAGGAGTAATTTTCATTTTTATAATGATTTTGATCCTCAAAATAAATTAAAGATACTTCTATAATATTCTTAAAAGAATTAGTTCAAAAGTAAAAAGGAAAATGATATTAGGGAATCTGAGGAACTGGGAACTGAAAGCCAGGAAGAAATGAGAACCAAAGAGAAAATCTTACATGATTAGATACTGAAATAGTATCTAATCCCTAAGCAGAGAAACAAGAAAAAAGGAGGATTAAAACAAAAAAGAAACAAGTATAGCAACTAGAGAATACTGAATTGTTGAATACATTACATGAAAACGACAAAAAACCATCATAACTCAGCTTTTCACGAACATCTTTTGGCTGATAATCTCAAGGCGTTATATGGCTTCTCCTTAATTAAGGCAAACACAGAAGCGATCAGAGGAAATCACAGAAAAAAAGATGTTGCCAGTGATTATCAGATAAATGCAAAAAGCTCAGGGGAAGAATCTTTTGTGGTAAAGAAGTGCCAGTCGGTGAGAAATGTTGATTCCCCACCCCCCCCCCCCCCAGACAATATCAAAGAGGTGTAAAGTAAAAAGAAGAAAACTAGGTTTAAGCCCTTATAACACATTATTTTAGGTATTCCCAGATGCTTTTTAACCGACTCCTGTTTCCTCACATATGATAATCTGACCAGAATTACTCTTAGTGGCTCCTAAGTCCAAACGGAGGGGAAAGCAACATTCAGTGCCACAACATTTAGAGCCTCCAGGCTCCCTGCCCGGGTCCTGCAGCTTCGGGTCAAGGCCTCCAGACTCTCCGTTAACCCCGGAGGCGCCAGGGAAAAGGAATATCCTCACTCGAACCCGATCCCCAGATGACCCTAGCTGGGTCCTTGTATTCATGGAGCATCCTTCAGGGACTTCTTTCGAGTAACAGCTCCTTTCTGCATCTTCACAAACCCCATTCAAGGAAAACCCTGGGATTTCAGCTGAAACGCACCCCGCCCCTGCTGCTGCCAGGCTCCGGGAGGCCGCCTCCCGGGGGCAAGCAGCTCGGGCGGCTCCCCGCGGCCCGGGGCAGGAGGGGCGCGCGCCCTCGGCCCCCGCGCGCGCCCGTTGCCATGGGAACGCACGGGGCTCCGCCGCCCAAGGGGAAAAAGGGAGGAGGCGCGGCGGCGGATCCAGTGGGAGACGCTATCGCAAGATGGCGTCTGCGAGGCCGCGGGATGCAGAGTGAGCGCACCCCGCCGGGGGTTCTGCGAGGCTGCTCCTCTCCCCGCCGTCGCCGCCACTGCGGCGCCGCCTCTCCGCCTGCCATTGCGCCGCGGCCAAGCCTCCCCACCTCGTAGGTACCGGCGCCCGCGCGCGCTCCGCTTTTGCACAGATGGCAGCGACAAGTGTCGGCTCGCCGAGGGCTAGCGGGTTCCCCCTTGTCAGGGTGCGCTTGACAATAACGCGTGAATAACTTTTTTCTTGCAGCGGCCCCCTGCCTCCCGGCCTACAGCCTCCCCTCGCGCCCGCGCCCCCACCACGCCCCTCCGACTCCTTGCTCCCTCCGAGGTGTGAGCGCGTCGGGCCGATGAGGTGATCTCCGGCCAGCCTGGGAGGAGCGCGTGGACCGGCGGGCGGCGGCGAGCAGTTGGCGAGCGCCTTTACAATGGCCCTGACCCTGTTTGGTAAGTGCAGCCCTTTGCCCGCGCCGCCGCAGGTGGGCCGCGCCCCGGGGCTCAGAGGTGGGGGCACCTGGGGAAGGGACGCCGCGGGCGGTGTCCGGCGCGGGCGGTGGCAGGGGAGTTGGGGCGCCCGGGGCGCCGGGCTAGCTCCTTCGCGCCTCTCCCATTGTTTCCTCTCCAGGCAGGGCCGATGGGCGTGTGCTCCCCTGGCCAATTCTGGGCTGGGAGGCTCTGAGGTCCTGTGTGTTTTGTAAACGGAGGGTTCTCTAAGATGCCAAGTTGGGAACGAAGTTAGCTGGCTGTTTCCAAGCCTATGTTTCTCAAGTCGATAAATAAAGATCCTGGAAAGTTTATTTATTTTTAACAAGATGTCTGTGCATCCCAACCTTCCTGCATTTGCCAAATGCGTGTGTTGATTCCTGTTGGATTTGAGGGGAATTTTTTGGACTCGGTATATTCTGTTGGAAACAAGAATAAGTGGTGAACTTATTTTAATATTTGCTAAAATTGAAAATGTTTGCTCTAATGCGTTTGAGAGCAGACAGAAGGAAGTTGGTATTGAAGATAAGTAATCTCAGGAGTATATCGTTGAACATTTTACGAAAGAAGTAGTATTTCTGTGATATAATTACTGTGACACTATTGTTTCAACAGTTAATTAAAGGTGTTTTGCTTTTTCCCCTGTCCCCAGAGTCTGTAATGACAATGGGTTGGAAAGGACCAAAAATACTTTATTTTCTTTTGCAAAAGCAGATTGTGTTACATATGTATTTTGCTTTAAGAAAATTCAGTATGTGAAAATTTAGATGATCAAAGTGTTCAGTTTTTCAAAGAAGAAAAGTACAATGATATGTACCTGATGGCTACCAGGATAGTAAGTTAATCACAACGTCAAGTTTCCAGTTACCTTTTAACAGTGTCATTTGATCACACACATTACAGGCATCACATGCTACAATGCTTTTTGATGTAAATACTTCAGTTTGTTAATCTGCTGGAATCAAAGAGTTACTTTTATTTTTAAAATTAGATTTAGACCCAGAGAGGTTGTTTAGACTGAGAGGGTTCATGGCCTTTTTGTGGGAAAACAGACTAGAATCTAGTTTGCCATCTTCCGTCTAGGACTGTAATTACTTCGCTCAAATACCTATGGTACTAGAAATGACATTTTTTATTTGGTGTTTGTTGGTTGTCCATGAGTGCTTTAAAAAATGTTTCTTCTTTTTCTGAAAGGGATAATAAAAATCTCCTGTTTTCCAATACATTGTATCAAATATGCATTTCTTAGTAGAAGTATTTCCTTAAGTGTGAACTTTTTTGGTATAGAGTTAAACTTTAATGGAACACTTTACTCATAGTTGATACTTTCTTTTGAAGAAGCATTTATCTTACACTGTTGTAGCTAATACATTGCAGTAAAATCTACTGTAGAAAATTCTCTTTTAAACTATTTTTGACTAAATTCATTTACCTTTTTAAAGAGATAGTCTGCATTTTCAAGGTTTGTTTTTAAAGATATAATTTACGAATCAATGACTTTTAAAAGACTGACATTCTCAATGAATAAAATGGATAAATTGGGGAGACCTGGAGTGTCGAATGAGGCTCCTTTGAATGAATTCCTAAATTATTAAATCTTTTAACTACTGAAGGGGAGGTGAGAAAAGGAAGAGCATGGAATTTGACCTCTTGAGGAAGGTGAAAGAAACCACTCCCACCTCTTAGGATGAATAAAGTGTCTTTAAAATTTTAAAAGTCATCTTGTGGGAAAATAGAATTCGGTTTAAAAATCCAATTTGGTTACAATTTTTAAGAATATGTCTCTATTGTAAAGCAAAGTATATTTCTGTTCAGAGGCTATTTTCTCAGTAATGATAGAGCAACAGTTATCTCAAGTGTAGTTGCACACCACTCATCAGTCATCTGAGATGTCTGTTTAAAATGTAGATTCCTTTGTCCAGAGACCCACAGAATCTGCATTTTTAGAGGAAGGGGATTTTAAAGGAACTCCCTTATGATTCTTACACACGATAAAGTTTGAAAACTATTACATTAATGATAAAATAGTAGATTGGCTCAAACTTGCTGAGTTCAAAATAGTTCTTTGAATATGCTAAGAGCAGTCTCCAAGGGTTAGAAGAAATTGATTTTATTTTAGATATTACTGCTTTTTAATTAATTGGCCTTAGAAGTGCCTCATATCTCTTCTTAATAACCAACTTAGAGCTGAGGAACAATGAAATAAAGTTCTATGAGATGGTGAAGAGAATGTAGGAACAAAACACTGGATAAGTGTGACCTTCTTATCATCATGATCAGAGTTCCATAGAGTTTCTACCTAAGCTTCCCCGAAGTAACCACTGCCAGGACACTGTCTTGTGTATATTGGGTGTGTTAGTTGGTTAAGCTGTTAAGGCTGATTGGGCTACTGTAGTAAAATAGCAAAACCTGGGTGGCTTACTCAACAGCCATTTATTTCTCACAGTGTTGGAAGCTGGGAAGTCTGAGACCAAGGTGTCATTTGGTTTACTTCCTCATGAGGGCCCTCTTTCTGACTTGCAGACATCCATCTTCTTGCTGGGTCCTCATATGATGGAGAGAGAGAGAAAGCAGCTTTCTGGTCTCTTCTTACAAGGGCACTAATCCCATCATGAGGACCCCACCTTCATGACTTCATCTAATCCTAAGTACCTTCCAAAGGTCCATCTACAAATAGCATCACATTGCAGGTTAGGGCTTCTTTTCGGGAGGACACAGTTAAGTGTCTATTGCAGCCAGCAATAGAGTATTAGTGTTTTTGCTTTATGTTTTACATTTCCATCTAGGTGTGTGTTTTTTTTTTTTTTAATAATTGTAAAGAATGTTCTTTTTTACAGGAAAAACTTCTAGTGAAAGATTCATTTTTTTAAAAGGGGAGCCTCTAAAATTACCTAATACATTTTTACATTTATATACATTTTTTCTACCCAAGTACATTCTAGGAACTTAGTAAAATACCTGTCAAATTAAGCTGAAGAGTGAAGACTGTCTTATATATTGTCTTCACTATTAATCACCTTTGTGCTTAAAAAGACGTTTTTAATGCGAATTTCCTTTTTATTCTAGAGTGGAAGAACCAGATCCCAGTCCTTCATTATTTCAGTCTCATTTGGGAGTTGAGAATGAGTGCTATTGAAGGTTCAGGAATTAGCAAACATTTTTCTTCATCTTTCAAATGAACCAGTCATCAGCATAAATACAAATAATTTTTAAATCCTCAAATCCTAAAAACTCTCCAAATGTAGTTCATATTCTGGTCACTCTCCTTTCCTTCCTGATTTGTTCGACAAACATCTATAGCAGTGTGCGGGAAACATGGTCCCTGTGTTAGAGCTGACATTCCAGAGCTAGTGTTTGCATCTAGCTACCTAATTCCGTGTGGGCTTTGTTAGAACTTCTCTGGCAGAGAAGTACATGTTGTCCGACAGTTGCTGGACTAGAGGGAAGGTCTCAGATCATCTAGTTTAGAATCTTTTGGCTGATGTACCAGCCAGAATATCCTGATTTGCTGCACTAGTGGAGCCCTAGTTGACAGAACTGGGGGAAAAGCATCCTGTCAGGTCATCACTTGGCAGGAGTTTCTGTCATTTATAGCTAAATGGAGCTCTGGTTTACAGCCCAGGACAGCTGGTGAGACTGGGAACTCAGTTACAATTCAGCTGGGCTAAGCTAGCCAAACCTGAATAACTCTCTGAGTAGAACTGGCTCTGGCATTGCCCCTGCTCTCCCCGCCCCACCCCCCTTTTTTCTTCTTACCATGTAGTCCCCATCATCACTGCCATCGATCACTTCTGATATTTAGGATTTTGCTGTAATTTCTTACATTCTTTCCTCAGTCTCTCCTACTCCCATGGAAACCCTTCATTATGCTTCTTTATTTGGCATCGTTCACTATCCTGACACACCTGTCTGTGGGTATCTTTTCAGAGCGACTTTGGAGCAGTTAAATAGGGACAGAGTATTTGTTGTGATAGAGCTAGGAAATTTTCTGACTTCCATGGCTGTCCTGGCAGACAACGGCACATTTTCAGAATGATTTATTTGACCAAAAGCTCACTTTATAGGAAACTTCCACTTGAATATACTCTCTGTTGCCATTTTGATTTTTCAGATATTGCTCATCAAAGGCTATGAGAAGCAGCAGGGTGGTCTGATGTTGAAAGCCCAGCTACTTTTCTTAGAATGTGTCCTCTTTTTAACTGTCATTAAAATCACCATCCTTCTTTAAATGCTTGTCCATATTCTTTCTTTTACTGGTGTCAGAAGCCTAAAGTCTCAACTTAAAATGTTTTCTTGTAATGTTTGGAGACTTGGTACTATGTAAGAGAGATAAAAGAATTATAGTTGTTATAACTCTGATAGTCACCATCTGTGTACAGTGTAAGAGGAATATTGGTGGATGCCATCTTGAGTCACATCTGTCCCTGCAGTAACCATCCTGTAAGCATTCTAATCTTAGAAGATAGTGATAAGTGTAATGACAAATTTTTAATGTATTTACTAAGAGTTTTAGTTTCTTTTAGATCAGTATTTCTCAACTTTTTTTTGAGTCACCTTCTGTAAGGAGTTTTTTTTTTCATTTATTTGTATTAGTTGGAGGCTAACTACTTTACAATATTGTAGTGGTTTTTGCCGTACATTGACATGAATCAGCCATGGATTTACATGTGTTCCCTGTAAGAAGTCTTTTACACATTTTTTGTAATTGATCTCTCCATGAAACTTTAATACCAAGATTCTGTTTATAGACTGTATGTATATTTGCTTTATGCATAAAGAGAGTAATTTTTCTTTGACCCCTGGAAGCCAAGTTTTGCTCCCTTGAGGCAGTCTTACCCCCCATTGAGAATACATGCTTGAGACTAATCTAAAGCAATCATAAGAGAATTAGAAAATATTGTTTTATATGTCACATAATTCTGAAGGAGTGACATAGATATAATAAGTTATGCATTTTTTCACCA